GGACCTTTGCCGTACTTCACCATACCCCTCTTTTCGGCCTATCTCTTCGGCTCTTTTCCTAACCCTTCTTCTTTTCATCTTTCTTTTTGTTTTTCTCATTTCGAAAAGACAGAGGGAACGGAGAGATAAGGGAGAGAGGATAGATAAAGAAGAGTACCATCTTCTTTGCGCCTTGTTTTATCTCTCTTCTATTCTTTTCTTGGCTCTTCCCATGAAAATCGTGTTCCTCTTATCTTTCCCTCCTTCTCTCCCTTCTCTTCTCCTCACGAGAGCCTTCGACTTTAGGATTGAGGAGAAAAAGAGAAGAGAAAAGAGGAACTACCTGGTTCTTGTTCCTGAGGCCTCCATAGTACGACTGACGTGACAGCAGCGTACCCTCGTGGAAACGTGTATGGCTATAAGAAAACCCGAGTCCCAGCTTCCAAATAGACCCTATTTAAGCCACCCACCCCCCCCCCCCCCCCCCCCCCCCCCCCCCCCCCCCCCCCCCCCCCCCCCCCCCCCCCCCCCCCCCCCCCCCCCCCCCCCCCCCAGTTTGTGGCTGCAGCTAAGGGTTTCGGTTTTAGGGTTTAGAGGTTCTTAGGTAAGGTTTGGTTTAGGGTTAAGGACGTTTGGTTGAGGGTAGGGTTTAAGCGTTTTGTGGTTGAGGGTTGAAGGTTTTAGGTTGTTCTTTTGCGTGTGAGGGTGAAGGTTTGGCCTTAGTAAGGAAAACGAAACATGTGGCTGAAACGTTTGCGGCACGATGTGGAACATCACGTATGTACGGGGGGTCAAACCTTTTGTTTGCAAATAAAAAAAACTTACGGCTCTTGTTCTCAATGTCGAAGCGGCAAACCCATAGGTACGTAAGCAGAAATCCAGGCCCAGATGCAACGAAGGCTACAACCTAGACCCTGATGGATGTAGGGTTTGGGGTCTAGGGTTTAGGGTTTACTGGGTTTAGGGTTTAGCGGGTCTCGAGGTTTAGGAATTGGAGCTCAGGAGGGTTTAGACCTTGGAAAATTTGGGGTCGGCGGCACTGGCGGTAGCCATTAAATCGGGCAGCGCGAGGTCCCCAAAGGACCGAGCAAATGCGGACCTTTTAGCCCGGGTCGTCCCGGGAATAGCCTTGCTGGCCTCTGGCCTTCTGCGAAGCAGAATTAGGCCGGACGCCAGTGCCGCCGACCCCCGCGTGCCGCCGGTGAACGGTTTTTTTTTTCGTGGTTTTTTGCGTCGCCACGGAGGCCCCCAGAGGGCGCGCATCATGAGCATCAGCGGGTCCAGCCCGGGACCCCCAGGCGGGCATCACAGGAGCATCAGCGGCTCCCGGGGCGGGACCGCGGGGGGGCATCAGGAGCATGATGCCCCCCAAAGGGCGGGCATAAGCGATGTGTCTAAGCGCGGGGCTAGGAAAAGGGGAGTTTAGGGGCCTTATGAAGTGCTTAGAAACTTTAAGGGAGTCTAGGAGCCTCAAACGCTTAGAGATTTGAAGGGAGTTTAGGGGCCTGAAAATGCTTGGAAACTTTGAGGGGGTTGAGGAGCCTCAAACGCTTAGAGATTAGGGGCCTCAAAATGCTTAGAAACTGCTCGCCCCGCGCTTCTGCCTGCGCTGCCGGCCCATGGGCGCAGCCCCTTAAAATAACTCTTTTTACCTTCTAGAGTCCCTATATACCTAAGTAGCCCCTAACTCCCAAGTAACCCCCAAGATCCCTTAGTAGGGTCCCTTCTTTAGGCCCTTGATTGACTAACAGAACACCACTCCCTTGGTGCGCCATCTCAGGACACACCTTTTGCTCCATTGGCCGCACGCTTCTGCACAGGTCACCTACTGTGGCAAGTGGCGATTTACGAAAATAGGGGACCCTAAAGTAGACCCCCAAATAGTAGGATCCCCTTCTATTCAGGACCCCAATAAGGTACGCCGAATTCGGAAACGCCCAAGTAGGAAATGCAGAAATAGCAGCAATGGCAAGGCACGAAATCCGGAAGCCCCAAACCCAAAACGTCGCCCTAACACCTCATTCCATCACTCCCGACCAGCCACACAAGATCGCCATCTCCGTATCAACGGCATAGCGGCCCTAAACCCTAAACCCTAAGCCCTAAGCCGTAAACCCTATACACCCTAAACCCCAAACCCCAAACCCTAAACCCTAAAGCCTAAACCCTGTTGAGGCGCCGAAACCCTAAACCCATGCAACCCCTTCAAGCCGAAGATTCACTTCCCTAGACTATCTACGGCATCGCGGGCACCCCAAAAGGGATCCTAAAGCCTGAAAAACTCTACAATGGACTCCAGCAAGTTGGACTTGGGTTTAGGATGATTAGTGCTGGGTGTCCGTATACTTTACCTTAAGGGTATTAGGACAATGATGTTCCAACTTTCTGGAGTTTAACATAACCCTGCTCCCACACTCAGTTGAGTTAGGCCGCCATCTTGGTGGCCTCGGCAGAGGGTCGCTCAGGGTTTTCGGGCTCACAGCTTGGGAGGTTTAAGTTTTTGGGTGTGGGGTTGAGGGTTTAGGGTTTAGGGTTTACGGTGCTAGGGTTCAAGAGAGCCCCTGGCGTGCGGCAGCCCCCTTTTCTTGACTCGGCTCGCCTGCCATCGCCTGTGTTTGCAATCGGCAGAGCTGGCAAGGCCGGCCGGGCGAGTCGCAACACGGCAGGGATTCCCATTGCTACGAACGCGGATAATGACACGAACGTCCATCATGCTACTCACGAGCAATTGCAAGAACACAGCTAAAGCAATCATCCTACACCCTACACCCTAATCCCTAATCCCTAAACCCTAAACCCTAAACCCTAAATCCCAAACCCTAAATTTGTTCATCCGGGAAGGAAGCCCTGCGTCCCGAAGCGCAAACCCCCGAGCCGGCTATGTACAATCGCCCGACCCGAAGGTCGGACCGTAGGCCCCCTAGTGGGATGCCCCCTTCTGGGGTGGGGAAAGGGGGGGGTTTAGGGTTTAGGGTTTAGGGTTTAGGGTTTAGGGTTTAGGGTTTAGGGTTTAGGGTTTAGGGGGGGGGGGGGGGGTCCTAGAACAGTCCTAGAACATTAAACTTCTATGGGTTGTATATAAGGCTCTATAGATGGTTATCAAAGGTTCTACAAGCTTTTACAAGGTTTGTATAAGATTATCTATATAAGGTCATATAAGGTCCATAAAGTTATATAACGCGACACAAGGTTAAGCCTTGAAGAGTAGCTCCAAATCAACCTAAACCCTAAACCCTAAACCCTAAACCGTAAACCCTAAACCCTAAACCCTAACCCCTAAACCCTGAACCCTAAACCCTAAACCCTAACCCCCTAAACCCTAAACCCTAAACCCTCAACCTCGGACTTGCTCACGAAACTGGAGCACGATTGGCTCCTGCGCAGGCTCGGGTCGCAGGCATGTCGAGACCTATGGTTTAGGGTTTAGGGTTTAGGGTTTAGGGTTTAGGGTTTAGGGTTTAGGGTTTAGGGTTTAGGGTTTGGACTGTTAGTATAAGGGGTAACATCCCAAGTCATACGCATGACACTTCACGGCCCAAGAAAAAGAGATCCGACCTCGTCAAGGAAGTCGCCTGGGATACTCAGTTTGAAGTTTAGGGTTTAGGGTTTCGGGTTTAGGGTTTAGGGTTTAGGGTTTAGGGTTTCAGGTTTTTGCGGGTTAGGGGGGCTTCGGGCGTATGGCTGGGACAGATGCAAAGGGCAACTGTCTCTTTCTTTTGGGGTTTGGGTCCCAGGGCGTGAAGATTGCCCTACTCCGTGCAAGTTGCACGGGTGCGCGCACGACCGGGACACTTCTTTCCTTGTTTTAGGGTTTAGGGTTTAGGGTTTAGGGTTTAGGGTTTAGGGTTTAGGGTTTAGGGTTTAGGGTTTAGACCATGTGCGGCCCCAAGGTCTGGAGCTCGGTGGAAGTTAGCGTTTCTCCGTTCCCATCTTCATGGTTGCAGGGCACCCTTTCACTATACTGAACTTGGAACCCTAGCAAAAATTCTGTTTTTGCTGCTTCTTAGGATTTCAAGTACCCAAAAAATATAAGTTATTTCCAAGTATCCCTAAGATCCTCAGTGAAACTCTGAAACTCAAACCCTCTCAGCCTAACTTACTCTGTAGAAACCCTCGCCTGAACCCTATAAAGTCGAACAGGTGCCAACCCTACAGCCCTGAACCCTACAACCCCAAATTTCAAAACCCAAAAACCCTAAACCCCCAAAAAGCCCCCGTAGGTGCCGCCCCACACACAAGAAAAACCCCCAGACCCTAACCCTAAACCCTAAACCCTAAACCTAAACCCTAGACCCTCCTCCTGACCGCACTTTGTTGCCGGGTCTCGCAGGGTGGCATCGTGGGGGGCGCGGCAGCCGTCAATCAACCTAGATTGTTCCTCTTGCCGAACATATCCTGCATCCTAAACCCTGGCATCTCGAAAAAAGCAACTATATGCCAATACCCAAAACCCTAAACCCTAGACCAGAGAAACCTAAACCCTATAAGCCCTAAGCCCTAAACCCTAAACCCTAAGCCCTAAACCCTAAACCCTAAGCCCGAAGCCCTAAACCCTAAACCCTAAACCCTAAACCTTCCCCTCATGCCCCTACCGAGCAACACTTCCAGCGCCAGGTGCCGCAGGTCGCTTGGCGCCTGCGTCTCCTTGTCAGTTTGAGGTTTAGGGTTTAGGGTTTAGGGTTTAGGGTTTAGGGGTTTAGGGGTTTAGGGGTTTAGGGGTTTAGGGTTTAAAGGGTTTAGGGTTTCCGGCGTTTTGGGCTTCTTTCAGCCTTCTTGAAGTCTTCTGTCAAAAATCTATCTGTTGGGTTGATAAGGATTTTGGAGTGCTGTGAGATGGTAGGCTGCGTTTGCGTTGCTTTCTTCGTGGTTCCGAGGGCTTGGCTTGTGGGCTTCAGGGTTTCAGGGTTTTGGTGTTTTGGGTTGATTTTGGTGGTCCGGGGTTTCGGTCTTAGTATAAAGTGATGGTCGTTCACTGCTTTGATCAGCTACATGATTTACTGTGGAGTTCAAGCGGAGCAAGGCTAGATAATCCGGGCATCGATGATTTCGGCCACGGTCATGCTGTCCAACAATTTCAGCTTGTCAACTTCACCACTTGGGCGGACCGCGCGGACTTTCACCATCTGGCCCTTCGGAGGCGCGCTTTCCTCAGGGACAGGGGAGATTTGGGGTCAGATGGGGGCTTAAGGATTTAGGAGTTGAAGAGATGAAAACATCAGTAGCTTCTTGCTTCTGAGAACGACATCCCAAAATCCTAAACCCTTTACTAGCCCTTAACCCTAAACCCTAAACCCTACGCTCGGAAACCCTTTAAGCACTTCCTGCAGTTGGGAGGGCCTTAGTGGGGCATTCATGTCTAGGGTACGGCAAGCGCGGCAAGTCCGTTTCGCGCCTTTCGCGTGACACCTTAGACCCTGAACCCTAAACCCAAACCCCTAAACTCTAAACCCTAACCCTAAACCCTAACCCTAAACCCTAACCCTAAACCCTAACCCTAAACCCTGTTACATTCAGACCTTCCTCCCCATGGCCCAAGCCTCTACACAACCACACCCGAACCTCCATAAGCCTCTAAGCTCCAAACCCTACGTCTAAGTCCCATCGACCCGACACCGCACACCCTGCACACCCCACATCTCAAACCCGGAAACATAAAAGATGAAAACTGCAACGGAACGCTCAACCCAGAACCCCCAAACCGAAAACACAAAAACACTAAACCCCTAAACCCCGCACCCCTACACCCCCAGACCCTAACCCTAAACCCCGAAAACCCCGCAAAAACCCACAAACCCTCAATCCCAACACTCCCCCCAAAAACCTTAAACCCTAAGCCTCCAAAACCCTTAAAACCCAGACTCTCAAAAATCCTGCCAAAACCTGCGTCCACGGGGCAGCCTTGGTCGCCTCCCAGGGCTTCCTTGCAACTTTGAGAGACTCGAGGCTTGAAGGGTTTAGGGTTTAGGGTTTAGGGTTTAGGGTTTAGGGTTTAGGGTTTAGGGTTTAGGGTTGAGGGTTGAGGGCTGAGGGTTGAGGGTTGAGGGCTGAGGCTTGAGGGTTAGACCTTGGGCTGCTCTCCCTCTCTCTTCTTCTTCTACCCAGCGAAGAGCCCCTCGTGAGAGGAGCCCCCTCTCCGGCCCGCTGCTCTGTCTGGGTTTAGGGTTTAGGGTTTAGGGTTTAGGGTTTAGGGTTTAGGGTTTAGGGTTTAGGGTTTAGGGTTTAGGGTTTAGGGTTTAGGGTTTAGGGCTTAGTTTTAGGGTTTAGGGTTTAGGGTTTAGGGTTTTAGGGCTTTAGGGAGGGCTTAGGGTTAGGGCTTAGGGTTTAGGGTTTAGGGTTTAGGGTTTAGGGTTTAGGGTTTAGGGTTTAGGGTTTAGGGTTTAGGGTTTAGGGTTTAGGGTTTAGGGTTTTAGGGTTTAGGGTTTAGGGTTTAGGGTTTAGGGTTTAGGGTTTAGGGTTTAGGGTTTAGGGTTTAGGGTTTAGGGTTTAGGGTTTAGGGTTTAGGGTTTAGGGTTTAGGGTTTAGGGTTTAGGGTTTAGTGGTATGCGAGTGAAATTTAGACACACGTTTTGGCACATTGGCCACTTTGACGGGTCTTCGCACAGAGGCCCCCCGTGCCCTGTTTCAGTCGTGGGCGTCGTGGTGGTCCCTCGTTTAGGGTGCTGCGGCTGAAGCGACTTAGCTCAGCAATACCCTAAACCCTGCAAAGAAATAGGATCTTCTTTGGAATCTGATTGCGAGCGCGGTCTAGGTATAACGAACCCTCGTATAAGCAGCATCTGCAACCCGCCTGAACCCCCTGAAGACTAAGCCCACTGTGGCCTTGTGGGTTAGATTTCTTTGTGTTTTCGCAGGGCTTAGGAATAATACTATTTGTGTTGGATGCAATCTGCACAATAGCAGGCATGAAACATCAAAAAGTACAAGATTTTTCCAGACACACTAAACCATCAAAGAACCGTAACAGATACATAGTTATTGATGCTATAACTCCGTCTAAAATAACCGTTTTGTAATTCAAGTATTCCCAGTAGGCTGACGGAAAATAGTTTAAATCACTATACGGGGGTTTAGGAAAATGGGGGACCCCTAGAATAGCCCCCCCCAAAGAGTAGGATTCCTTGATAGTAAGGAGCCCAATAAGGTACCCCCAATTTCGGAAACCACCATGTCTTTAGTGGTAACTTTAACCTTACCAAACAGGAGGATTCACGAAACCCACGACTCCCGAAAAATGGGGGGTCACAGCCAAAGAAATACACATTTAAAGGGGCTGTTGCGCATTTGGCTCTGCATTCTGCATATGTGGTATGACTGGCAGCCTCTTTACATGTGTATTTCTCTGGCCGTGACCATGTAGGGCTTAAGGCTTAAGGCTTAGGGCTTAGGGCTTAGGGCTTAGGGCTTAGGGCTTAGGGCTTAGGGCTTAGGGCTTAGGGCTTAGGGCTTAGGGCTTAGGGCTTAGGGCTTAGGGCTTAGGGCTTAGGGCTTAGGGCTTAGGGCTTAGGGTTTAGGATGGAGGGCTGAGGGTTTAGGAGACCAGTTGAGGCCACTCAGCCCCAGACAGTGCTTGGGCGGCATCGACGATGTGGGACGGGTTCCCGCTTAAGGATCGCAACCAGGGAAGCTCTGCCAACGCCTTGGGAGCATGTCAGTTCAGTTCGAGGCCTACTGCAGTCCATGCGCTCCCTTAACCCCTTCGGGGGATTCGGGGCTGTAGGATGTAGGGTTTAGGGCCTAAACCCTCAACCCTGAACGCCATAAACTCCCACGTAGGGTGTAGGGTTCAGGGTCCTTTTTGGGAGGACGGCACATAGGCCCCAATATCCTAAGCCCCCGACTTTATCCATACCCCCTAAACTTAACCCTAAACCCTACACCCTAAACCCTAAACCCTAAACCCGAAACCCTAAACCCTTAGGGCGGGAAGGATCCTGGGGCCACGGCAAGGAGGTCCCCCAAGGTCTGCCCAAAGCCCTCGGCGATCTTTGGCGGAGTGCTGGGCTTGCCGGATCCTGGTCACGCACAGCATCTTAGATATACTATATATATATATATGTATATATGTATATATATATATATGCATATTTATATCTATATTTATATTAATATTAATATTTATATTTGGATTTATATTTGTGTTTTTATTTGCTTTTATTTTCATTTATAGCTTAGCTATATATATGTATATATATATGTATATTTTTTATTTATATTTATATGTATATGCATATGTATATTTATATTTATATTTATGTTTATGCTTATATTTACATTTATATGTATATATATATATATATATATATATTTATATTTATTTATTTATTTATTTATTTATTTATTTATTTATTTATTTATATGTATGTTTGCATTTATATTTATGTATTTTTGTTTGATGGGGATTTTTACGGGGATTAGATTTGGGGGTTTCCGAAATTAGGGGTACCTTCTTGGGGGGGTCAATATTAGGGGGCCCCAAATTTCGTAAACCCGCACTTAGGCAACCCTAAACATCAGAAATTCCGGCTGCTGCACCTTGCTCGTGCAGTTCGAAGTCGTAGAGGGGCCGCGCAGCACGGCACAGGAAGAGGCGCGCCTCCAAGCCCGCCCGTGAGGGCTTCGGTGTTTAGGGGGCTGGGCTTGGGGGGTTTAGTTGTAAGGTTTAGTTAGGTGCTTAGGTTGGCATTGCAACGAATCGAAATTTGGGCAGACGCCTGCAGCTATTGGTGGTGAAGGTAGATAACTCGGCGCAGCAATGCGGCGGTAAGACCTGGGAGGCCTGCAAAAAGTACTGTATGATCAGGGTTAGTTTGGGCGGTTTGGGGTTTGGGGTTTTGGGGTTGCGGGCGGGGTTTTAGGGCCAACCGTGTAGGAACAGATGACATTGGCCAGGCCTGCGCCAGCGGTTGAAGCGGACCCAACTCCATCTTGGTCGGTTTCACGTTCAAGCTGCCTGGCATTCATTCGGCTGGCGACTGTCAGGGACTTTGGGTGTTGGGGCTTCGGCCTGAAACACTAAAGGTTAGGCAGCTAGGTTTTGAGGGCTTGCGAAGAAAAGCACATGCAGCTGGACTTCCACCATGTTAAACCTTGCAACTGCTGCAACAACCTAAACCACAAACCCCAAATACACCCTACACCCTGAACCCTAAACCCTAAACCCCAAACCCCAAACCCTAAACCCTAAACCCTAAACCCTAAACCCTAAACCCTAAACCCTAAACCCTAAACCCTGCATCCAGGCCGCCTAGCTGTGCCTTCAGCTGGTCCGGCGAGGCGTCGGCCACCTCCAGGACCAGCCGGGCCTGCCATGTAGGCTCTTCCTATTCAGGTCGCCCCGCGGCCCGATGAACCCCTACACAAGCTTAAGGCCTTGTTTAGGGTTTAGGGTTTAGGGTTTAGGGTTTAGGGTTTAGGGTTTAGGGTTTAGGGTTTAGGGTTTAGGGTTTAGGGTTTAGCAATTACCAGCCTTCTGGTTGACTTCCAGGAGCTCCCGCAGAGGCAGGCTGTTCAACGAGATGCTTGGCACATCTGCAAGCACGAGGATGTTCGGATCCTTGGGGCTCCACGTTTGCTGCGAGGGTTTAGGGTTTAGGGTTTAGGTTTTAGGGTTTGGGGTTTAGGGTTTGGGGTTTAGGGTTTAGGGTTGGGGGTTGAGTGCGACCTCTGAGCCTGTGAGGTGGGCGGGGGAGCGGGGGGGAGGGGGGAGGGGGGGGGGGGAGGTTTGGGGCATGCACCTGACGCAGCGCGCGCAGGAGGTCTTGCAGGTTGTCGGAGATCTTGTTGGGAACGTCACCTGAGCCGAGCCCTAAACCCTAAACCCTAAACCTAACCCAAACCCCAAACCCTAAACCCTACACCGCTAAAAAAGGAGCCTCGGGCCGGTGTAGCTCAAACTCATTTCAAGCCACCGTTCAGCCAGTACCTTGGCCAGGCGCAGTTCGAAGCGAGCTGAAGCAACCTCCCCAATCAATATATGCATATATATATATATATATATATATATATACATATATATATATATACATACATATATATATACAATATATATATATACACATATATATATATATAGCACACAGATATATATATAATATATATATATATATACACTATATATATATATATGTTATACATATATATATATATATATATACACATAGATATACACACATATATATATATGGTACCCCCCCCCCGAGTTATCCACACCTTTTCTGCTTGTTTTGTGTTTTTCTTGTTATGGCACTGCGTATTTCTTTTTTTCGTTCGTAATTTGTTTTCTTTGAGAGACGGTTCTAGAGTGCATAGTGTACTTAAATTTCAAGGCCTCAATGGTCAAGCGCGATGAGGGACAAGGAGTATTGAAGTTCAATGCTCCGGATTGAACTTCAATACTCCGGGATTCAAGATTCAAGATTCAAGGTTCCCGGGAAAAGTTCACCCGGGATCTTGAACCCAGGGTCCGGAAGTATTGAACTTCAATCCGGGGTATTGAACTTCAATACTGGGGACCCTGGATTCAAGATCCCGGGGAAACTTTTCCCTGGAACCTTGAATCTTGAATCTTGAATCCCGGGGTATTGAAGTTCAATGCTCCGGATTGAACTTCAATACTCCGGGATTCAAGATTCAAGATTCAAGGTTCCCGGGAAAAGTTCACCCGGGATCTTGAATCCAGGGTCCCGAAGTATTGAACTTCAATCCGGGGTATTGAACTTCAATACTGGGGACCCTGGATTCAAGATCCCGGGGAAACTTTTCCCTGGAACCTTGAATCTTGAATCTTGAATCCCGGAGTATTGAAGTTCAATGCTCCGGATTGAAGTTCAATACTCCGGGATTCAAGATTCAAGATTTAAAGTTTTTAGAGAAAAGTTTCCCCGGGATCTTGAATCCAGGGTCCCGAGTTTGAAGTTCAATCCAAAGCCAAAGGGCTTTTCGGAGATTATCTCTAATCCCCTGACGGGGTTACCTCTATAGGGTTTAGCCCTATAGGGTCCAAGCTTTAAGAATTACCCGAAACCCTTCAGGGTCAGAACCCTAAAACCCTTGAGGGATCTAGAGATTGGAAGGCTGCAGTCCTAAATGTGCTGAAACCATAATTAGACTATTTAAATGGGCCGGGCCGTTTCCCAAAATACCTATTTTGTTTCAAAATTTCAAGGATTGGAAGGAATGTACGGATTGTTAAAAAATCAAAAGGGCCGGGCATTTCCCAAAAGAAATTATTTTTCAAGATTTTACGGATTTTAAAGTATCTAAGTGGCCTTTTACATTCCTTAACATCCTTAAAATGTTGAAAGCCAGAGGCCTCTCAATATTTTAAGGAGTTTATAGGGTTTTCAAGAATTGAAGGGTCTTTGTAAATTCGTTAAAATCCTTGAAGCTTTAACAGGGGAAAGAGAAACATCAAATAGTACGTAAAGGTGAGTCGTACACAGGGTTATAAGGTTCTCATCCTATAGGTAATACCTCAACCTTAAACCATAAACATGTGAACCCTATAGGCCTATAGGGTTTAAACCCTATCGGGCTAACCCCGTGAGGGCTTTAGAGATAACATTTTTGGGTTTTAAAGGTTTAAAAGACTAAGGTCTGGGCATGTATACCTTCAGAGCCTATAGGGCTACAACCTTTGAGGCTTTTAGAGCCCCATAGGCTTTCAGGGTTCTGACCCAAAAGGGCTTGGGATTTAGATTCAAATGCCTAAGCCGTAAGCCCTTACGGTTTATCTCCATGGGCTTATAAACCTTTAAGACCCCTAAACTTTTGAACCCGATACATGGTGTGGGCACTTATTCTGCTTATTCTTTGCATTTCCACCAAGCCCTAAAAAACAGAGGCATAACCATGTGGGTTTTAGGTTTAGGGAAAAAAGCCTCAAGCCTGATAGGGTTTTTCAGGCTCTAATCCTACAGGCAATGCCTAAACCTAAAGCCCCAAACTGTTGAACCCTATAGGCCTATAGGGTTTAAACCCTATCAGGCTAACCCCGTGAGGGCTTTAGAGATACCTTGAAAAACCCTAAAACTTTAGACTTTATGGGATTTAAAGGTTTGAAAACCTAAGGTCTGGGCATGTATACCTTCGGCGCCTATGCGGTTAAAACTTTTCAGCCTTGTATAGCCCTATAGGCTTTCAGGGTTCTGACCCTAAAGGGTGCAGGTTTAGATGCCTAAACCGTAAACCCTTAAGGTTTAAACTCTATAGGCTTAGGTTTAAACACCTAGATCCTAAAATCTTCAAACCTAATAACCGTATAGGATTAAAGGTTAAGGGTTTAATTGCTTAACCTTGAAACCCTATGGATCTAAAGGTTCAGGTTCAGGTTTAACCCTAAACCCTATCGGCTTTAAGCCCTAAACCCTATAGGGTTTCGGTGCCTCTCTTTTTATAAGACTTAAACCTGAACCGATAAGGGGTTTAGAGATTTAGCCCTGAAAAGAAAGCCTTTGCAAAAAAACAGGGAGCGCAGCGGAGCGGAAGGGAGGGGAGGGGAGAAGGTCGCTGCGCCCAGTGTTTGGACAGATGGAGAGGACTCGACATCTCAAGGATTGCATGCATTTACGTTATGTAGGGATTTGGGCTATTGGAGGAGGGGGGGGAGTTCAGGGGTCACCGCGGCCCGTGAACGATCTAATTGGCTCGCAACCACAAAAAGCGTGGATAACCACAAAAAGCGTGGATAACCCGGGGGGGGGTAGCATATATATATATATATATATATATATATTATAGCAACCATACTAGTATATCTCTTTTCCAGTAATTCTAGTCTTTGACAAGCTTGGGCTTGAACCGAGCTAGGGCTGGATGTCTCTGCATCCCTGCCACACTTCCTCAAAGCCGTTCACCCGCCGCATCTGGATGAACCGGCCGGCCGCCACCATGAGCGCGGTCTTCCCGATGCCCTTGCTCCCCGACAGTGTCACAAGGCGCCTCAACAGGGTTTCGGGCTTAGGGTTTGGGGTTTAGGGTTTAGGGTTTAGGGTTTAGGGTTTAGGGTTTAGGGTTTAGGGTTTAGGGCCCTGGAGAGAAGTCCCATTGCTCCTCCGTTGCGGGACTGTAAATACGTGGAGGAGGGTTTTCTTCACATGAAGCAGGGTTTACATTTCTTGTACCCCCAAAAGACGCCCCATTTTTACACTCACCAATTTTAAAAAGGAACCTTCTATACACTCACCAATAACAGTAATATAAACCCTCCTTCAACATGAAACAAGCCTGCCCCTATATGGGGGTTTACGAAAATGAGGGACCCTTCATATAACCCCTAAATAGTGAGATTGACAATCAGGACCCCAAGAAGGTACCCCGAATTTCGGAAACCCCCCATATTTAGGAACCAGCAAAACAGGCTCAAAAACTTGAACAAAACCCGGGTCGAAGTGATCAGCCTGGTCCTCAAATGACAGAGAAGCCGCCAGATGTCGACCTGCGCAACGTTGGGATGTTCCCCCCTTAGACTATCAGCTCCTTAATAGGGATTGTAATAGGGGGGGGGAGGGGGGTACTTTCATAATCGGGGTACTATAATCCCTGTTAAGGACTGTTTTTAATGGGGGGGAACATCCCAATGCACAACTTGAAAAGACCTTTTCGGAAGATGCAGGAAACGCGGAAGAGACACTCTTCAAGGAAAGCGCAAAATCTTTCAAGGCTACTTTCGTGGGGCCGATATGCATCCTATGTCTACACATCGCATATTAAATAAATAAATATACATATATATATATATATGTGTGTAATATGTAATATGTATATATATATATACACATATATGCAACGCCTTTGTAATGCGTTGGCGTTAGCATTTAGGGTTCAGGGATGGGCGGCATGTTGGCTGGTCGTTTCGTGCGCGGCTCATCCACTCCGGCTCGGCGTGTGCTCTCGAACAGCTACTCTACCCTGCCAGCCGTTGGAGGAATACTGCCTGTACCTCCGTGGCCATTTTTGTCTTCAAACGGAAACTGGGATCATCAGACCTGAGTCCATGTGCACCAAAAGTCTGAAGCCCCCATTCGCAAAATCAAAGTGGCGCGTGAGTGCGTCCTACTCTATTTTTTGGGGGTGATGGAAACTGAGAGGAACCTAAATGAGACGAACCTCTCAAAGTCTGCTCTCTTCACTTCTGAAGGTTGGAGAGATGAGGACATCCAGCTACCGAGCCTGGCCCGAGGAGGTCACTCCCACCTGCAAGCTCCTCCGCCGACTTACTGCCTTTCAAGACCTCCAGGAAGATCTCGGGCTTGTAGAAGATGTCGACATCCACCAGGCGCAGCTGATCATCCACGCTGGCCACCCCAAAGCCAAAGAGCTCCACCAACTCGCCGGAGCCTTTGTTGCCGTCGTAGGTCCCGGTGAACTCTCCCCAGTGGCGCCAAGAGAAGGCCACGCGAGGTGGGCCGGAGAAGACTTCCAGGACCTCCCACGGAAATGCGGCGAAGGCATCATGGAACTTGTCATGGGACTGCTCCCAGGTGATGGAATCAGCATCGTAGAGCGATGCCGGGCAACCAGCCAGCAGCACGTTGTAGTTGCCGACTTCATTAGCCTCCTTGTTGTTGAACTTCTTCCACCCGTTGGCTGCGATCATGAACTTTTCCGGATCAACCGAGCGGTGTTGGTCTGGGTCGACTTTGTGCGAGCGTTCCATCTCCCAGGTTTTCACCAAGTTCTCCACGATCAGTTCAAGGGAGCCTTCTGGGTGGTTCTTCGTCTTCCCTTTCAAGTAGAGGAGGTTGGTGAGGGAGTAGTCCGGCTTTCCGCCATAGCGCCACTTGATGCCCTCCTCATCCATGTGGGCACGCTCGGGCTCCTTCAGCCCATACTTTGCCTTGATCTCCTCAAGCTCCTCCCGACAAGCTTCCAGCTCTTCGGCTGTGAGCGGCTTTCCGGACCCGGTGGCAGTCAAGGGCCCCCGCATCGCAGTTTGGGCCATCGAAGGTGGATCCCCGCTGCTGCGGCGGAGGACGCGGGCCTTGGCCTTCTGGAATGACTTGATAACGAAAAGGCCAAGTCCAGCAGCCATACTCTTTGCCATCTTGTGGGTCCTGGGAGCACGCACTTCTTTTGGCACACCGCGGCCCAAGTGCAGGGCACAGGCTGGAGCTCCAGCTGGGCGAGGCTGCACGCTGAGCATAGCACAGCAGAAGGGGGGGGGCGGAAAGTCCGTTATGACTTCGGAAGCGAGCAAAATCTCCTGCGGCACGCAGGTGCTTCGTGATGGTCCTCTGTGCCTGCTGGACACTTCATGGCACGAAGCCTGGATCAAAGGTCATGAAGTCTACATGGCAGGTGAAGGCACACGCAAGCACACCAATGTAGGGGCCTTGTAATAATTAGAATAGGGCTTTGGGGGTTATTATAGTACAATCACAAAGGGACCATGGGGAATACTAGCATGATTCGCACAGGGGGCCTCTCGGCCCATGAAGTCCTCCACGCGTGCAGGAAGCCAGCGGGAGGCAGCCGGACTGCGAACCACAGTCAAAAAAACACGCCAAAGGAAGGTCAACCCACATGGGTGGTTGTCAAAATTATGATCCCCTTTGGGGTACCCTATATATTAGGTGCCGTAATAGAATAGGGATCCAAAAAGGGACCATAATTTTGACAACCACCCACATTGCGAGCTGTTGAAGCAACGCATTGCCGAAGCTAAACCCCAGCAGCCATCCCAGCAGCCATAAACCCCCCAACATCCTAAACCCTAAACCCCCTAAACCCTACTTCCTAAGCCCTAAACCCTACACCCCTCAACCCTAAACCCCTTAAACTTAAACCCCTAAGGCCCTAAACCCTTAACCCTAAACCCTAAACCCTAAACCCCGAAGCCCCTGCCTCGGTGTACCCACCCCGGCACCGGCGCCGGCCGTCAGCACAGCGTCGTGGTCGCCCCCTGGTTCACATTAACGGGGCGCCCGAGGCGCCTGAATTAGGGTTTCGGGTTTCGGGTTTAGGGTTTAGGGTTTAGGGTTTAGGGTTTAGGGTTTAGGGTTTAGGGTTTAGGGTTTAGGGTTTAGGGTTTAGGGTTTAGGGTTTAGAGGTTGAGGGCTACCTAAGCCTAAGCCTTGAGTTTGGGTTTTAGGGTTTGGGGTTCAGGGCTACCTGAGCCTTGAGTTTAGGCCTTAGGGTTTAGGCGTTAGGGTTGAGGGCTTAGGTGGGTTTGGTGTTTAGGGCTTCGGGGTCATGGGGGTGGGGGGGGGGGGGGGGGGGGGGGGGGGGGGGGGGGGGGGGGGGGGGGGGGGGGATGCTGCAGGAAGTGTTTCGGTTTGGGGTTTAGGGGCTGCCTGGAGGCTCCAAAATGCCAAGTCAGTGCAAGGTAGACTTGCTCTTCTTCGCGTTTGGAGTTTGGAGTTTAGGGTTTAGGTTTAGGGTTTGGGGTTTAGGGTTTAGGGTTTAGGGTTTAAGGTTTAGGGTTTAGGGCTTAGGGGGCTCACATAGCATTGAGGCTTGGGGTAAACCCTTCGTGGAGGGCTTCGAATATGTATTCTCAGGGATGAAGGTACTAAATTCTTAGTACCGGCTGTCGCATTTATCCGTGACAAACTATTCCAGATAAGATACTGTATATAGCTCCTAAAGAAAGCACAACATGAAAATGTGCTACAGCATAATATGCAGCACTTGTCTAATCCGAGGTCTACTGCAGCTTTTCCAAGACTTTTCCTGTAGAACCACCTTCGGTAAACATTAATGAAAAGAGATGTGAAAAGAAGTCAGAACTCATTCGAAGGTGGGTTTCCAAGATATGTTAGAAGCCCAACTCAAGTTTTTTTGGTTGGTAAGGGCATCAAGCTTGTAACTGCTGACAAAACAAGCACTTGCATCGGCACAGATAGCCGGTCCCGATGTTTGCTAGGGCTCTTAAGGGATGGGGGTTCGAAGTTTGAGTAACCCAAGGTTCCCTCAATATTCCCCACGCGCCCTAAAGCTTCCTGAACATTTTTCTGGGAAATTCCCATATGTGGCTTGCTTTCAAGATCCTCAAAATTCCTCGATCAGGGGGGGAATCCTTACAAAAATTAAAAAAAAAAAAAAACAAAAAAAAAAAAAAAAAA